GGAAAGCTTACCTCAATAATGGTTTGTGTGTGTTAAATGTTATGAATGAGAACAGTAGTATTTTTTTTGCTTATATTGTTGAATCTTTGGCTGTTTGGCATAATCGTTTAGGCCACCTTAATTCTTCTTACTTAAAAAAATTGAAGGGCATGAATTTGATTAATTTTTCAATGGATGATAAATTTGACAAATTCCAAATTTGTGTTAAGGCCAAACATACTAAGAAACCGTTTAAGCAAGTGGTCTCAAGAAGTAGTAAACTATTAGAATTAATTCACTCGGATTTAGCGGACTTTAAAAAATGCATGCACCCGTAGGGATGGAAAAAGTTATTACATTACTTTTGTTGATGAATTTTCACGATTTACCAAAGTGTATTTTCTTAAAACAAAAGATGAAGCCGAAAGTGCATTTTTAAAGTACAAAGCCGAAATGAAAATCAATTGGACCTAAATTAAAGATCAGAAGAGCTAGAATCGATAGAGGTGGTGATTATGGTAAAGGTTCTCTAAAAGATTTTTGCGAGGCCAATGGTATCATACATGAAACAAGTGCACCTTACACACCCTAATCAAATGGTGTTGCCGAAAGGAAAAATAAATCTTTGAAAGAGACTATGAACGCTATGCTTCTTAGTTTCGGTTTGCCCGATAACTTGTGGGGAGAAGCGGTTCTTTCCGCTTGTTATGTACTCGATAGAGTGCCCCTTAAGAAGTTGGACAAAACCCCCTATGAACTTTGGAAAGGCTATAGTCCAAATTTAAAAATTTTGAAAGTGTGGGGGTGTTTGGCTAAGGTTGCTTTTCCAGATTTTAAGAAAACCACTATCAGGTCTAAAACTTTTGATTGTGTGTTCATTGGATATGCTCATAATAGTGCAGCCTATAGATTTATGTTATTAAGTGATAAATCAATTATGCAGTAATTTTTTAGCATATTTTTCCAATGAACAAGTCCTTGTCTTCTAATGTTGATGTGCATGCTAGTAAGTCAAGTATGAATGTGCCTCTTGTTGGTTATATGCCTAGTTCTAGTCTCCCTTCTTCCTCTACCAAAGTGGTAGAAGTTGAACCTAGGAGAAGTAAGAGACCTAGAGTAGAGTCTTCCTTTGTACTGGATTTCTTGACTTCTTGTGGTAGAAGACTTTGATGTGGATTCCTTAAGTGAGCATGTTGTATCTTTGTTTCTTTTAGAAGAAGACTCTAAGACTTATGATGAGGTAATGAGGTCCATAGATGTAGTTTCTGGAAAGAGGTTATTAATAGTGAATTTGATTCTATTATGTCCAATCACACTTGGGATCTTTGTGACTTGCCTAAGGGTTCTAAACCTATAAGTTATAAGTGTATTTTCTAGAAAAAACTTAGACCGGATAGGACCATAGAAAAATTCAAAGCTAAACTTGTCATTAGAGGTTTCACCCAAAAAGAAGGTATAGATTTCTTTGACATTTATTCTCCCGTGACTAATATTGCCACAATTAGAACCTTGGTAGCCCTGGCGGCAATTCCTAACTTAGTGGTTCATCAAATGGATATCAAAATGGCTTTTCTTGATGGAGACCTTGATGAAGAAATTTATATGACTCACCCAGAAGGTTTTTTGGTGAAGGGACAAGAACACAAAGTGTGTAAGCTTATAAAGTCTATTTATGGTCTTGAGCAAGCTAATAATCAATAGTTTGAAAAGTTTGATAGTACTCTTAGGAGTTGTGGCTATGTGACTAATTCTTCGGATTCTTGTTTGTACTCTAAGGAGTTTGGTTCATCGATCATGGGTACTCATTTGATTTTCTTAAATTGCACTTTGCTTCTCATACATTTCATGGGTACTCATTTCATACACAACTTACACTTTCTCACTTAAACCAACGTCAATACACTTCTTGCTTATAATGAACTCTCTCAAAACTCATACCTCACATGCCAAATGCTTCACTAAACTAAGAGGGTTGGGAAAACATAGGCCATTAGGTTTGTAATGTGGTTAAGTCAAGAAGGGGAAAATATATGCTCAAATTGGTTAGCAAGCTAGGTGGATGCAAAATAGAAAATCAAATTTGTAACTAAACAAAAAGAAAGATAAGGAAAAATGAGAAATTGTGCCCTTGTCCTCCCCTAGAATGGCTCGGTCACGATCTCGAGAAGCTAGAGGTCAAAACAAGGATTAAGACATGCATAGTCAAGGATCCTAATGCGCCACTCAACAAAGTGATGAAGGCTATAAAAATATAACCTCACTAGGGATTAAAACCAAGCAATTACCAACCAAGGGTTTCAAATCCACTAATAGAGAGCAACTCCGTCTTACCACTTTCCCGTGAACTAAGGTTTCCAATCGCCTCAAAGTTGTTAATCTTGCTACCTTAGCATTAAAATTTGTGGAAATTCAACCAAAAGCACTCTCAAACCGTGTTCTCCATCACCAACTAGGAAGAATAAAGTATTCAAAGACACAATATCAAAGCAATCAAGTCCAAATGTATGAGCAAAATCCAAAACACATTTTTATCAACTTGCCATAGTCACGCTTGCAAAAGAAAAAGGAATAAAAGTAAAGAAGAAGTAAGAAATCAAATAGTACAAAAATGAGGCATATAAAACAAGTAAAGTCTCAATAATCATACAAAGATCGTTTGATATCAACATCAACGATCCCTATGTTCCGTAGAACCAAAGCAAACAACCTCGAACCATTCAACTTCCTCCTAAAATAACCTAAACTAAGCACACCAATAAAAAGTAAAAGAGTAAATAGGAAATGTCTCACCCAAAAGTCGCTTGAAGAAAAATAATGCAATCTTACAATTTCACCATTGAACCTTATATTGCTTCCATTGCTCTTCAAAGCTACAAGTGAGAGAGAGAAATCAAGAAACAAAAACCATACAAATAAAGGTTAGAGAAAAAGAGAAAGGGACAGAAAAAGAAAACCTACTTTATCAAACTTTGGGCAAAACCAACTACCCAAACTCAAACCATCATCATCATATCATCATCAAATTCATCATATCAAAAACATCATCATCAAACAACAACCAACAATAAGACACCTCATGCAATAATCAACAAGACAAAAACAAAACAAATCCCTTTGACTTTCCCATGATTCCTTGATGCCTTCCCCTACACTTATCCAAAAACAAACCTTTTTTACTCAAACACCTCCCCCCCCCCCCACACACACTAGAGATGAACACCGTCCTCTATGCTCCACATGCAAATAAGAGGAAATGGAGGGACCAAAAGGTGGGTAACAAACAAACCAAGGGGGAACTAGTGGCCACTAGGGCCGACACCACCATCAGCACCATTCCAATCCTCATAAGAGAAGCCCGAGGGAGGGCCATGTGAATCCCAAACTCCGGTGTAACCGGGAGGCCACCCATAATGACCTCTAAAGAGGTCTTGTTGGGAGGAGGTCAATTGGTCTTAGCAAGGGGTTTAATGTGTGTAGGATCAACATAAGGGTAATTAGGGTCACCCCTATAATCACACCCACCCGGGACTCTATAGCCATAGTGACCGGAATCATCGGGAAACTTTCTATGTGGCACATTGGGGTCCGAAGGACCTTGTCAATAGGGGTACGTAGGTTTGTTATCACCCCCCCCCCCTAAGAAAGCACGGGCCCTTGTTGGGGCGGCACATAGAGATAGTTAACCGGGGGTGTGACATCACCCCTACGCACACTAGCATCATAAAGGGATTGCATTTGAAAAACCATAGTTTTTTTTAGTTGCATACATACCTTGCATGCCAAGTTGCATGCTTTCCATTTGGGCTTAAATGCCCGCCAAGTCTTGTTGGTATCACTAGTAGAAAAAATGAAATAGGAACCGCACAATCCAAGCTAGTCTTGCTGGAACTTGTTGTCTCCAACGCAGTCCAAGCTAGTCTTCTTAGCTTGCTGTCCTGCTCCTATTAGAAAGCTTCTCTCTGTGTTCCTGTTAAGGTTCACGTCTAGTTCTAATGAGGAACTCTTCTTCTATTCTCTTTATCTTTCCTTTAGTTCTCTTTGGATCTTCATAGTCAAATTACTCTTCCACTCCCTGAGTCAACTTCACATGTACTAATTCAACACTTAGAGAAATCGCATTAGTTGAAGTTTGCTTTTCCATCATCATCTAAACTACTTAAGGTTCAACAAGCTGCTAGGTGGTACCTTCCTGTGAATGGGATATTGAAGATCAAACGGATGATGCGGTGTTTGCATGGTGATGCTGGTGTGGGAATGGGAGTTATTATCAGAAACCATGAGGGATTTGTGATGCGTGCTACTTGTCAGCAAGTTAGAAGCAAATAGGAGGCGGATGTTGTTGAGGCAAAAGCTTTGGTATTAGGACTAAAGCTAGTAATAATGTGATGCGAAGAGAGTGATTGTTGAATGTGATTGTTTGTGGTTGATTAACCTCGTGGCAGGAAAGCAAGTGGATGAGTCTTTTGTTGGCTTAATTGCTAGAGATAGATATCAAGAGCATTTCTAAGTTTCTTTGATAGTAAAGAATTTGTTCATGTTGTTAGAGAAGCCAATTGTTTGCCTCATGCTATGGCTCACTTTAGCCCACTCAAGTATTCGATTAGAGTGTGGGTAGGGGGTTGTCTAAGCAAGATTGATAATGTGGTTGCGACCGATTTTTGTTAAAGCATTAATGATAACTAGAAGTCATTTTGGCTTTTTCTCCAAAAAAAAAAAAAAAAAAAAAAAAAAAAAAAAAAAAAAAAAAAAAGAGAGAGAGAGAGGTATAGCTAAATGCTTTGAGAAAAAAAAAAAAATTGTTTTTTTTTTTAATTAATTTGACAACCAAAAATTTAGAGTTTGAGAATTTTACCATACATGATAACTATATTATGGAGTAGGAATTAAGCATTTATTGGTTAAGTGGATTCGTTGTAAATTGTGACTACGGACCACAAAGAATGTGCATTTTAAATTTTTTTTTCAAATATGTATGCAGTCTAAGGAGCTTGAATAAATTATTACAGTGCACAATCCTTACATGATTGAAGATAAGATTCATAAGTTGTCCTGATACAATAAAAAATTAAACAAAACAAATAATAAAAAACAATTACACATGAATAATGCAAAAGATTGACACTCAAAATAAAATAAAAATAACTTTCTCCTTTTAATCCAAAGGGTTAAGCAGTGAGCTAGCTCCTTGTGCTTAAAGCCTATCCATTTTCGCAACGGGCGGAAAAAGTCTGGGAGATGATCTATATGTGATATATTTCTTTTTCTTAAATGGATCGATTGGCAAAAAACTTGGATCAAGCATTAACGATCATTCCACCTGAAACCCCCAACTAGTTAGATTACAGTCATTGGTATTTTACCACGTGTGTCCATGGACACACAATAAGACATAACATATTCTTTATCTATATAATTATACTAACAAATATAATGAAAATCTTTCCTTATCTATATAATTATAGTACTACCTCCGTTACATATTAGTTGCAACTTTGTATATTATTTGTGAGAGATAAAATATTCTAAAGTTGCAACTAATATGTAATAGAGGTAGTAACAAATATAATTAAAATTTCTGTTGCAAAACTTTAAATGTTGATGATTTGAAGAACCTAGCGAACTAAAGTAACGTACCATTAGGGTGGAGAAATTGGCCAGTTAAGTAGGATGAACACTCATTGCTTGCAAGAAAAACATAGGATGGCGCGAGTTCAAAAGGTTGTCCTGCTCTATCCATTGCCGCCTCTTTACCAAATGTTACAACCCTATCGACTGGAAGTGAAGCCACTTCTAGAGGAGTCCATATGGGACCTGGTGCTACCCCATTCACTCGGATTCCTCGTTTGATGAGTTGGAGACCAAGGCTTCTGGTGAAGCTGACAATGGCTCCTTTGGTTGAGCTATAGTCAACTAAAGTTTGTTCACCTATGTATGCCAATGCTGAGGATGAGTTGATGATGCTGCTTCCTTCTTTCATGTGCTTCATTGCATGCCTGCAAAAGAAAATCGTTGTATCATACAATCTAAGAACTCACTACTTTGTTGTGTTGGTCGGCTAGACTAGCAAGCTAACACGAACGTAAGATTACTGGCATCCTCATTATAGTCTATACTTTAACATGTTATTGTAATCAGTGGCGAATCTTGAGTTTATGGTATGGGGGCCAATGGGCCATATTTAAATCGGTTAAAGTTATACTCCGTATATATCTAACCATTAAGAGGTAACATTTTATATAAATTTTCAATGCAACGTATTCTATGCCTAATAAAACTTTAAAATAAATTAGGGGGGAGGCTAAACCCCTATGAGCCTTAATGAAGTTCCTCCCCTGATTTTTAATTTGGTAAAATTAATTTCGAAACACCAAATATATATATATAAATGAGGTAAAAATGATAAGACCTGTTATTATTCATAACGTAGATTACTTTTCTTCCATGAAACACTTACTTTGCCATAAATATATAGGCGAAGATATTGATTTCAAATGTTGTTCTCAGTTGCCCCTCGGTGATATCTTCAATATTCTCTTTGTAGTACTGTACAGCTGCATTATTCACTAAGACATCGATACATCCAAACTGACTAACCACCTTATCAACCACCTTCTTGCATTCATCTTCACCTAGGCGAAGATCAGCTAGAATGGCAATAGGTTCACCTGCATCATTTTCTTTCGCCGCTTCTCTTATCAAAGCCAAGGCATCATCGGCATCTCTATCCTCTGGCCCTTTAACATATGTGAAAGCCACATTTGCGCCCTCGAGTGCGAAATAGTAACAAACTGCTCTTCCTATTCCTGAATCACCACCTGTTACTAATGCCACCTTTCCCTGAATTTAAAAACATTCAGAATCATTACACTTTATCATATGAACATGTAAGCTATGGAGAATTTACACTAATACAAATTAAACCAAACACGCAAACATGCATAAATATGGATATAGGTTAAAAAATTTGGTGTCTTATGGTGGTAATTGGTAGATTGTGTAAAATAAAAAATAGAAAGATTAGATACAAACACAATATTTTAGGAAACGCAAAATGGAAAGTACGCATAATTCTGAATGAAGGGAGTATTAAAGAACGATCTAAGTAATATCTTGATATCAACTTATTATACTCCCTTTAAAAAAATGTGTTTTGTGTGCGACTGGCCACACCATGTAGTGGCCGCTTGTAAAAAACAATGTAACCTCTATAACACTAATCGATTTACCCATGTAATACTGACCAACTAACCATATAATACTAACGTAATAACCCCTGTAACACTGATCGAGTAACCCTATAACATTAACAAAGTAACCCCTGTAATATTAATCGAGTAACCCTATAGCACTAACGTAGTTACCCCCATAATGGTTGACCACCCCGTGTGGCCAGCCACATATAAAAGTTGGTGTTCAAAAAAATCTCCCAATTTTATTTATCTTTTCTGCGGAGGTATAAAAAAAGGTAATTTCTCTCCATTGGAGGGAGAAAAAATTGACCCGAACAAACTAATTTGAAACCGACTAAAAAATTCAAATTTAAATTTCGATTTATATGGACACAATAATTCAGCATGACTCAAATTTTAATAAAAGAAAAATGACCCGATCCCACTTTATAGAACCGAAGCTAGACACCCAAACTGACACTACATACTATTCTCCATACCTTATGTGCAATCCTTTCAACCCACCTCTCATCATACTATTGAAATACAAGTTTATCACCATATCAAGTGGTAAAAGTATAAATAAATCAACAAATTTTTTTTTTACTTAAAATGAATCCAACATTATTGATATAATTATAAAAATATCATGCTAACATGTTGAAGTATATCCTACCAAATAACACATATAAGTGTCCCACATTAATAAAAGTTGAGAGAGTCGAACACTTTATATGGCTAAGGGGTTAAACCTCCTATTGTCATATGGTTTTGAAATAGAACCTCATTTGATCTTGTAAAGTGGACTCTCTTTCTTGGTGATGAGTGTGGCCCAAACCCATATTTAACATAACAAGACCTTTTTGTTGATTTATTTATCAATTTTTTTTTATTTTTTTTTTTTTGAAGGAAGATTTATTTATCACTTTGCATCAAGGTTAATGGGGGATTCCTCCCCTGACTTCCATAAAGATAAATAATAAAAAAATGATAAATATATATATGCATATGTACGCTCTACTATTCCCAAAGAGGACACACACATGACAACATTTAGAGAAAAATGAAGTAACATAGGAAAATGTATGTCTTACTTGAAGCTTGTTGGAAGGTTTATATTGAGGATTGGTAGATATAGGGAGTGGATTCATCAAATATTGTTTGCCTGGTTGCGTTTCCTGGCTTTGTGGTGGAAATTTCTGATATTTGCTCGCCATTTTCCTTTATTTGACTTGCTCCTATTACAATCAAAATTGGTAAGAAATTATTCTTTTTTGTGATCGAATAATGTTTATACTCCGTTATAGTTTTAGATTTAGAAATGTAAACCAACCCAAAACCAAATATATATAGATAGAAATTCTCACGTGTTTAGTATTTTGCATTACTATTGGTGGTCATACATAATACACTATAGTTTGTGGTTTTTCTTATTTTAGGATTTTAGGACCACAAACTTTTTCTTGGCCAAATAAACAAAAATGTTAACAAGTGAGCTTTAGTTATATGGCAAATAATAATGGTCTCAAATTCAATACCTCCCAAAATCTTAAATGCATGACTAATATTAATTTGATCATCTCATTGATTTTGCTATTTTTGTCCCATTATTATTATTATTATTATTATTATTATTATTATTATTATTATTATTATTATTATTATTATTATTATTATTATTATTATTATTATTATTATTTATTTTTTTATATAAACTTTTGTCCCATTATATTCTGTTTATTGATAACATAACGAATAAATAAATAAATAAAAACGGGTGAGGGTAGCTATGAGATTTAATAATATCTTGTGGAGGATCAACGAAAAAAGATTTTGGTTCACAAATTGATTTTAAGATGTATATTTATTTTCTATGCTAAGAACAAGGAAAATGATAAATATAGCCTAAGGATTATATACATATTTAAGATATTTAAAAAGAAATATTATAAATCAGTAAACATTAATTACATGAATTTGTTTGTGTTTTTATCATGAATTTTCTAATTTTTATTATATAAGATTTAGTAAAAGTAAAGATCCTATATATATCCTACAAATTAAAGAAATTTTAAGGATCCTACTAGGGCAAGGGCTATATGGATTTTTCTACATTGCCTATCAATATTATTTCAACCACTTCTTAGCAATATATTAAAAGATGAACCTATTGCTATTGTCATAATCCATGTGGCAAATACAACAATAATAGTAGCTCCATCATGGATAAAGGTCACATAAAAGGAGTAGCTAATGGATAATTAGTCCTTGACTACCTAGAGAATTTTGAAGCAGGAAAGAACTTTATCTTTGGAATATACCTATTTGACATTTTTGTACATTAGGATGCGTCATATACTGATATGCATATACAACCAAATGTATCAAAAAATTCTGCATAAAAAAAAAATTCACTAAAAACCTTGTATCTTATATAGGATTGGCAAAATAACATTGGTAGGGAAGAAATACATACAAGTCCTTAATACGATAAAGTAGTCCCACCTTAGTTTGATGAAAAGCACAATAATGTAACTTTTAGTTTAGCCACATTTAAAGCAATAGTTGTAAATTTGTAATATTTGCTACTTAAAAGAGCAAGATGTATTGTTTAGAAGCAACCTATAATATGAAGGGTAGTCACAGGTAGAGAGTTAAAGGTATAGAAATTCTTTTGAAATTATTATTATTAACATAAGGAAGGTAGAGAAATTCAAAGTGAAGTAAAGCTTTTCATAATTCCTTAGACTAGTTCATGAAGGTCCTCAAGAGCAAAATACTTGAGATTAAGTACCTTGATAAAGTCGAAAATGATAAGCGCTTGAGATTTCATTACTAATTGTGTTCATCTATTGGTCAAAGGTAAAGTTTTGGGTGAGACAAACTCACCGTGAGTCTGCCGCCAACACTCACAACACCATTCATTAACTCATCAACTCTCACTAAAATGAGTTCACCATCAAAACCAAATCTCGACGCTCCAATTTCCATCGAAATCCAACCATCATCATCTCGTTACCCACTACCACCGTCTTCCTCCACCACCACTTCCGCCGCCAGTGAAAAACCCCACAGGAAAATCGCAATTCCCGTCGATCTCAGCGACGAGAGCGCCTTCGCTGTTCAATGGGCCGTCCAAAACTACCTTCGTCCCTCCGACTTCGTCACACTCCTCCACGTCCAACCCACATCCATCCTCTATGGCGCTCACTGGGTTTTACCCACTTCTCCGCTACTGCCGCTGATGCCGTCGATGGGTCTAAAGATGATAAGTCAAAGAAGAAGAAATTACAAGGTTGAATTGAATGAAACTATAGAGAATAAGTAATCAAAAGAGATTAATAGAGCTGTGAAAGTGAATAAGCCCCAAAAATATTAATGTCAGGTATCAAATTATTATTGTCAGGTATTAGATTATTATTGTCGACACATTGGACTCATAGCGAGTCCGGTCTTACACATAACCATCTCATTGGTCAAAACTCTCTAATTAACAAATATTATTGAGAAGCATAGTGGATATTAAACGTAGAAGTTTATTTATAATGATATTAGTAGTAGAGCAATGATAACTAGTACCATTAAAAGTTATTAAGAAAATCAAATGTAATATTTATTGATGAATAAAATGATATTATAGTTCACTTAAGTATAGTTTATGTCAAATGTAATATCAAATCACTAATTAATAAAGTCGGTCTCGCAGCCAGGCCACGAGACAGCGACACTTGACATTTCAATTTTTCGCCAAGTGTCGCGCCATATAAGCAATAAATAGGTTTTAGTGTGACACATATGATGCTAAGTAAGCGATTTTTGGATAGATTTTTTAAGATAAAAATGTTGTATAGAGTTTTATTATCACTGTACTTCTTATATTTCATATATGCAAAATTAATCATAACTTTTAATAAATATCCTATAACTCGGTTTTATTTCCATCATAAAATTCCTTTCAAAAATTTCTTTAAAATAAGATCTATTTATAATATATTTAATTTAGTAAAAAAATAATAGAGAATCAACAAAAATAATTTTTAACAAGTAAAAAAAATTTTGGTTTGGTAAAAATACTTTCACTTCAGTAAAAATAATTTAAGTTCAATAACAATAATTTCAAGTCAATAATAACATAGATATCTATTTACAAACAAAATTACAAAAAGTACACTATTCAATAAATAAGCGATAGGATATCGTATGTCTAAATATCCTACATTATCAAAAGGGATTACATGACCGTACTAATAAATATTCAAGCGAAAATGTTTATCCTAAAATTTTATCAACAATCTGGGCATCGCGCGGGCACAAAACTAGTTACTAATATATAAAGCTAAAGTTTTAGCTAGGTCACGAAATAGCGACACTTAACGTTTCAACTTTTTTCCAAGTGTCGTGTCACGTAGGCAACAATTAAAAAGTAGTATGACACGTAGGATTTATTTGGATATATTTTTCAGGAATAAAAAAGTTTTTTTTTTATAATAGGATGAAAATTGGGATAGATTTTGTAGGATAAAAAAGTTTATATAGATTTTTGTTTTCAATAAAATTTGGATAGATTAATAGGATAAAATTGTTGGTTTAGAGTTTTATTTCCGATAAAATACCAATATTTCACAAGTACAAAATAAATTATAAGTTTAGCCTGAACACGAGAAAACGACACTTGGCGTTTTAACATATCACCAAATGTTGCGCCACGTAGACAACAATTAAATAATATATCATATAAATTTATTTTTATATCATAATTTTTTTGGAGCGAAAGAAGTAGTTCAAAACGTACAACATTCGTTTATAGTATATTCTAATCGATTGAAATAAAATACTTCACAATCTAATATGATTTTATTATTGTATGTAGACCCGTCAATTGGGTCAGAATACAAGTCATTTAAGGTCGAGTCACTTCGGTTCATAGGTCAAGAAATGTTCAACGCTAGCCCAAAGTTCGAGTAAACCCAACGGGCTTAGAACAATTTTTTTTGTTTAATTTATTTTTTTACAAATTTCTGATATTTCAAGCTTACTTTGTTTGTTTTATTTATTTTTTTTATAATTTTTTTTATTGTACATCTTCACCAATATTATTATTAGTCATTACAAGCCTACTACGTTATTTAAATAGTTATAAAAATCACATCAGTTCCTAACTACTTTTGTATCAATAATATATTTTAAAACTTGGTATATAGATTTTTAAAAAATTATCTTAAAATTCAATAAACAACTCAGGTATCTCACGGGGCACCGAACTAGTATATATATATAAAGGGGAGTTTTTTCCCGTGTTTTTAGAGCGCCACATAGGATTTTAATTTTTAAATAAAATATTAGAGCGCCACGAAGGATTAATATTTTTAAAATGCTACAATCGGATTATGCCACGTAAGATTAGTTTATTTTAAAATGTTACGTAAGATTATAATTAAAAAAAAATTAAAAAGCCACATAGGATTAATATTTTTATAACGCTACAATAGGATTATGCCATGTAAGATTAGTTTTTTTAAAGCGCTACGTAGGAATATAATAATAATTAAAAATTTATCAGAGCGTAATATAGACAATTGATATATTTTAGCCAATTAAAAAAGAATTGCAATTTATTTTAGATCTAAAATTTTATATTAATTATAAAAATAAAATCAATGGGTTTTCTGTGTGACTGGCTATATCGTGTGGCTGGCTGAGAGACACAAAAACACTGACCGAGTAACCCCTGAACGTCCAAGTAACCCCTGATCGATTAAGTAACCCTTGACCAACCGAGTAACCTCACCAAGTAATCCCGGCAACACGGTGTGACTAGTCACATATGAAAATTTGCGAAATAAAATATTATCTTTTTATATTAGGACTTTTTATCTAAATATGAAAAACAAAATTAATAATTCATTTCATAATAAAAAAAAATCAGTAGTTAACAAGCGAATATCACAAAATTTATGAGAAAAATATATATTTAGTAAAATATTTTGTTTGAAAAAAATACAAACAAACCGTGCATCGCCGGGTTTCTATTTAATAATAATATATATACACATCAATAGTTTGTGAAATATTCATTGACAGAAAACGATTGATGAGTAAGAAGATTGTAAAATTAGTACTCGTACATTTTATGCTTAAACTAAGTTTAATCTTTGTAAAAATAAATGCAGTCTATGCTAATTAAACTGTTGACTATGCAAAATTAAATTGTCCCTAAAAAGCGAATTAATTAGTATAATTAGTAATCCGTGCATCGTGCTAGGTTGAGACTTGCCCGACTACATAATTTTATGTATCTTATTAGAAAATCTTGATCACTGAACTGCATGTGTCAACTCCAATAGGTTGTAAACGCAATTCAACAAACGGCTAAAACACATCAAATATTTCCAAAACTGCGATTATGATAGTTGAGGACCGAAGACCAAAGATGTGAAAAAACCATTTACGTAGTAAACCCAAAAAAAGAAAAAGAAAAAAAAAATAATAAAAAATAAAAATAAAATCAATGTTTCTACATTAAGACATGAAAGCGTGTTTTAAATGGTTGACGAAGCAAAGTTGGATTCATCGCCCTGAAGAAGATCGATGTTTTAAAACAAATGCAAACTATAAGTACTTGACAACTGGTGAAAGGTACTATTTCTAGTCAAATACGAAGTATTTGTAATAGAATGGATGTTTCATGAAAGCTTGAGTTTTGAACTTTATAATCCATCCGTTTAACAATCACAAAAAGTAAAATTACAGTTGTTTCAAAAAAAAAATAAAAAAAATAAAAAAATAATTAAAAATTATAGTTTGTCGGTATCAGTTTTTTATTTTATTTTTTGGTCTAGTCTAGTTATTTCGATCCTATCAACATTAATATGATGCTGTGACCAAGCGTTGAATTAATTTTTAGATCTTTTGTTCAATCAAGGTTTTGATTGATGAATAACCTTAGTCTTATTGAGAGATCCAAGTAGTGTCGTCTCAGAGTTTTTCGTGCCAAAAATAAAATAAAAAGGTGCCTTAAACTACTAAGACTTATTTCATAGAAAATCATCGATAAGTAATAATCGTACACATGGAACACCAACCGGCACGACCTGCAGGATGAGCTACTGCATAGGGTCCATATGCTAATGGGGCCTCAAATCAGTTGCAAAATATAAAAATCCAGTTATCAATATTTGAAAATATTGGAGTGTAGCTCAATGATCTAATGCTTTAGAATGTTTATAAGCAACCTGGGTTCGATTATTGTCTGCGTAATTTTTTTTGGAGCCCTGGGTTTGATCTTATTCTTTGGGTATCAACCTTTAAAAACTTAACAAACTTAATAAATCATCCTCAATTTGCTAGCAATTGTGATTGTTTTTAATTTTTAAATTTTATTTTGTTTTGGCGAGAGCAATTATGATTGTTGAAAAGTCGCATTTAATTAATTAATTTATTTTATACTATAAATTGAAAAAGGACCCAATTTATTCTTAATCGCATAGGGCCTCCATATACATTGGGACTTAACACCAATCATACATGAAGAATACAAATACAAGGAAAAGTTGTTGCTTGCTGGACAAGGAGTAATATACGTTGGTGTGCTTTTTAATGCTGAGGCCTAATATAGCCTGAGATGGTGCCTTGGTAACTTATGGCTGGTACTATACATGATTAACAAGCATAAACATAGGCGTAATATATCTTGTGTTTTATATTTCTCAACGAGCATAGTCGGATTAGGTGTTTACAATCATTCCACCTGAAACACCAATTAGATAGTTAGCTAAGAAACCTTCTTATATACAGTACAAATCAAATTTCATTTGTAACAAACATATACTCCCTCCGTTTTTTTAGATGCATCATTCACTTTCTATAAATGAAAGTTTCAATTTAGACGCTTCTATCACTTTCTATTTTAGTTGATAAATTGATTAAATTTTCTCATTCTCTCTTATATCACATGAGTTATCTTTATTTTTCCTCTCTAACTTTCTCTAGCTACTCTAAAAATTGTCTAGAAGTCCGCAAATTCAAAAGTGATGCATCTAAGAAAACAAAGGAAGTATATATATAACATTGATTAGAATGATTGGTGGATGGAATTAGCACAACGTACCATTAGGGTGGAGGAATTGGCCGGTGAAGTAGGATGAACATTCATTACTAGCAAGAAAGACATAGGATGGTGCAACTTCAAACGGTTGTGCTGCTCTATCCACCGGGGCTTGTGAGCCAAAAATGACAACCCTTTCTACAGGATACGCAGCAACTTGAAGGGGAGTCCAGATGGGGCCTGGTGCTACCCCGTTCACTCGGATTCCTCGTTCGATGAGTTGGAGGGCAAGGCTTCTAGTGAAGGTGACGATAGCTCCTTTGGTGCAAGTGTAGTCAAGAAGTGTAGGTTCACCCTTGTATGCTACAGCAGAAGCTGAGTTGATGATACTGCTTCCTTCTTTCATGTGCTTTAGTGCATGTCTGTATAAATCAACACATTGCATCATCAAATTATATTGGCCTTTTTTTCCTAATAATCCCTCCTTTTTTTTAAGAAAAAGCTAGAGTTGGGATTCCGCGGAGTTTTAGGAAATTTAATAAAATACGATGTTATTAGGGTAGATAAGGTAATTAAAAAAAATTGTAAGAAATGATATTGAGTTATTATGTTATTGAAAAGTAAAGTGGTGTGAGAGGGAGTGAGGAATGAAAAATGATAAAGTAAGGCACCGTTCGCTTCACCTTAAAAAAAATATTCAATAACAATAATTTCAGTTCAGTAAAAATTAGTAACTTTAAATAAAAAATATAACTGAAAATCAGTAAAAATAATTTCAGTTCAGTAAAAATAATTTCAGTTCAGTAAAAATAAATTTAGTTCAGCAAAAATAATTTTACTTCATCAAAAATAAGGTGAAGTGACTGGGGTCTAAGAGTGAGTGAAGATCATTACTGGGTAAAGCATTATAAAATTGTAAAGGTTTCCAAAAGAGGAACTCTAACTTTTTTAAAAAAAATGGAAGGAGTATTTAAAAATCATCAAATAAAAGTGTGATTGAGTAGTGTCAAAATTATTACTTATATGAACTGGTAAAAAAAAAGAAAAAAAAATGTGAAATGTTATATGTAGCTTTTAGGGGTATGAATAAGCAATGAAGATATTTCCTACTTTTGTATAAATTTAGGTGTTTCGGGTGTTTATAGAGTCCCTCGGGAGAGTTACAATACTGAGTATGCGCGCCTGACTTCTGTACCTGCAAAAAAACGAAACTCTGGTTGGGTGGAGTTCCGCCTCCGATGATCAAGTTAGTATGTTTCCGGATGAGTAAACGTGCAGAAAGTAAGTAGGTATTTCTCATTGATTCAGAGAGATTCCGCAATTAATATTGCTTAGGATTCGTGTTTGTATTTGTGAATGTCCCATAAATGACGTTGTTTCCTCTATTTATAGCAGGTGAGAACCTGCTCCCCCATTAGGGTTACAATGCCACGTGGCATCCTCTAATTGGATCCCTCTAGGCCTGTATGAGGGTGACACGTGTCAGTCCCTCATTGGGCCACGTGGCAGGGATAATTTTTACCCCAAACATTTGCCCCTCACAGGTGTGACGTGGCTTGCCACGTGGCACCTGTGACACTTGTCACCATGCGGGAAGGCAACGGTTCGCCTCCTTCCCTCCATTTTTTTATTTAGAATTTTGAAATTGCTTGAGGGGAGGGAAGGTGATGGTTCGCCTTCTAAGATTTCCTATAAATAGGAACCTCCCTTCTCTCATTCCTCACTTTGCTAATATTTAGAGAGAAAATTCCATGAGAGAAAAAGAGAGAGTTTCTGATCCCGGCTGCTCTTTCTTGCAAACAACCTTCAATTCCAATACATCCGGATACCGATGGAGTGGTTTCTTTTGCCCGCCTCACTAAGGTATCATTCTGACCTTGTCAGTTTCTTCATCTTAATTTTTGATAAAGTTGCAGCCGGTCTTATGCCGTTTAGAGCTTCTTCAAGCAATCTCATGATGAATTGCATCCAATAGACCCTCAGCCGGTTTATGCCGTCTGGGGTATCTTCAAGCAATTTTATTGTGAATTGCATTAAATAGACCCTCAGCCGGTTTATACCGTCTGGGGTATCTTCAAGCAACTTCATGGTGAATTGCATTCAATAGACCCACAGCCGGTTTATACCATGTGGGGTATCTTCAATAAAAATTTTCTTTTGAATTGCTTTGTTGTCCCCTCAGCCAGTCTCACACCGTCTGGGGTATATGTAAGCAATTTCTTTCTACTAAACTGCTTCGCTGACACCTCAGCCGGTCTCATACCGTCTGGGGTATCTTTGAACAGCCTCTTGATTAATTGTTTTAACGGATGCGCAGCCGGTTCTTTACCGTCTGCGATATTTCCGTACAATTTTCTTCATGAGTTGTTTGTGATAATCCTCAGCCGGTATTGCACCGCCTGGGGGGTCTTTGGGAAACTTTTCCTAAAAACTCCAGACCAATTATTTTCTGTACAAATTTCAGTACAGCCACAGCCGGTTTCTTCCGCTTGTGGTATCTTTGAGCAACATTGGTAAATAACTTGCTTTCTTTTGCCAATTTGCAGTTTGTTCAAAGTGATACCGTCTTGGGTATCTTCGTTAATAATCACTAGCCTCTTTAGTTTACTACTTCTTCCAACTACAAGGTACCGCCTCTGCTCCTTGTTTCTTGAAGTTTCTAAGTTTTTCTAGCTGTATAAGTTGTTAGAATAATGGATTCACCCAACACACACACGGCACACCACGATTTAGAGGTCAGCCGGTCTCCTGGTACGGCTGAGTCTAGGACTGGGGGTGCCACCTCTGGGTACTGGGACTCTCTTATTCATCTCCAAAACCGACCGTCTTTGTCTCTGTGCAGGACGCAATGGCTCGAACTAGGAAAACAGCCGTTGATCCAAAGTATAGAGGGGAAACCTCTGAAGAATTACCGCCTGACTCTAATCAGGCTGAGATGACGGGGGGATCCCCGCATGGCACCCCAGCACTCCCAGTGATGGAATCCTGGGGTTAAATAAGGAAGGTGGCGAAGGCACCGCCTCTCCCTATAGGGTTGAGAGGGGAGAACCTTATGGTACTGAGAACAATGAGGAGACCGCCTCCTCATCAAACTCCGAGCAAGGCAGTAGCGACAGCTATCTTACGCCGGTCGTAGATAGCGAGGAGGAGGAGTGACCCACATGGAATAATAAGGGCGATCCCTTCCTTATCGCCGTCTCTGCCAAAGACAGGGCCAACATGGCCAGAAACCTAGGGGACTTCGTCCGCATGCGGCGTCTAGGAACAGATTGGAAAATTATCGTGCCGCCTGAGATGGGCACAATAGTCTGGGAAGATAATCAGCCGAATGCAAACGGGTACTTCAGCTGCTATGAGGAGGCGTTTCTAGCCGGTCTTCGCTTTCCTCTACACAACACCATCAAGGCCATCCTTCGAGGGTATGGTCTGGAAATTTGGCAGTTAACCCCCAACTATTGGGTTAACATCTTAGGCTATATTGCAGCCTGCGAGATGCAGAACATTAACCCCGGCTAGGAGGCCTTCGTCCATATGCACTATTTAAGTCGAAGCCCAAGCGGGTGGAGAGCCTGGTATACGCTTATACCTACCCCCAATACTGATGACCCTGGACAAACCGTCCAAGTGCTCAGACTAGAAGAAACGGTTCTATCTGGTTTCTGCTCCCACCAAAGAGGAAAATCGAGAGTATAGGACCTATAACCGGAAGCCCGAACTTCTGGGGGCCACAAATGTAACAAGCCTCGTGTCCCGGATCAGGACTACGAGAGAATAATAGAGGCGGGGTTTTTTGAACAAATCACAACTGCATTCTCAACCGGAGAACTAATAAGCGTGCCCGAGAATTGGGTGCCAAAACACGAGTTCCTTCGAGATGAGGCGTTTTTATCCGCATGTAAGCTAAGCACCCAGTTTAAGAAACGTAGGTCGTAAGTGCTTGGTCCAATTATGTCGCTTGTATATATTTTATGTTTATCTTGCCCTTAATCACTCTTTCTAACCAGACGGTTTCATTTCTGCAGTGAGAGCTTTAGCAATGTTGCCCACAGACAAGACACCGGCTAAGTCTGCCGCCGACATCCGCAGAGAAAATGCGGAGAAGAAAAAAGCTGCCCTAGCGACAAAAGATAAGGTACATACGCCTGCTTCCTAATTTCATATTTTTTAAACTTCTTACCGGTTGACTTTTGTACTTGCTTTTTGGTTCAGGATGGGGGCAAGGCGCCTCGCTCCCTTACAAAGCTTATCCGACCCCAGCCGGGGGAGGAGCCGGCCACCCAAAATAAGGCGAGGAAGACCTCCTCCCAGACAGTACCCAGCCGACTGACGGTTAGGGGGAAGTCTGTCAAAAACACAGGTCTGGGGTTCTATCTAACCGCCAGGCAGCCGGATGTTCCGGAAGAATCTAGGGGGGCTGCACCGCCTAGGGCATCCGGCGCCTCTGTGCCGGCTGAGGGCAGTTATGACCCTCACCCAATCTCTCAACGTACAATAGATCCCTTCAACCCTTCTTTGCTTGGCAAGCCCATGCGGGTCAAGTCGCACTCCCATCTCCAGCCAGAAGACTCTTCAGGCAGCCGGCAGTCAATAGGAGGGAAGTATGTTGCTTTTTCACCATCTCTTTCTGGTGCAGATCTCTCCCCTCGCTGGCCGGATGTACAGCAGTACGCCTGACCCATGCTGAAGGCCGTCCCCAGGGAGGAGAAGGAGGCGATCCCAAGGATCAATACCTTCAATGTTGACCGGGTCATGGTCAGCCTGGCTGAGGTATGGATTTTTTTTTAACTGAATTTTCCAAGGTATTATGTCGTTTGACCCTTTTAACACCGTTTGGGTCTTTGCAGTCCATGCTTCGCGTGGAGGGGCTCAAGAAGGCCTACGCCCGCAAGCAAGATGAGGTAAGACGGACTAAACGGGATGCTTCTGATGCTCATAACATTGCCCAATATTCCATGATCGTGCATGAATTAGAAACTAAAAGCATAATCATGAAACAGGCGAACTCCATCAAAACGCTCCAAAAGTCCCTCAACGAGGCTCAAACCAAGCTCCACAACCTTCAAATAGAGAAGGAAAATGCAGAAGAGGAGGTGAAGAACACGTCTGATTCTCTCAAACTCCTGGAACTAACCAGGAAGGAGAATAATTTGTTGCTGACTAAAAACATCCGTTAGAAGAAGGAGGCGGCTTCAGCCAGCCAGAACTTCCAAACCACCTTGGAAGTAGAACAGAGCCGGCTCATTGAAGAGAATGAGCAAGATTGTGCCAACCGTATGCATATGGCTTGGTCCCTGGTATATCCGGACACGGACTATGCCGTCTGGAGCTCGCCTACAAATATGCCGATCTTGCCATTGAAGCCCAAGAGACGAAGCAGCCGGCTCTGGAGCCATATGAGGAGTGGGTTAAGAAGCAGATCGAA